TGCCATGGAGCGCTTTAAAGGTGGTAACTAACACCTTAAAGCGCACCCGGAAGGCCACTGGTAACCAGTGCAGCTCGCGCAGCAGCGGTGTTACATGGGAGCGACGAGTCCCTCCCAACACCGCCCGCGCGGCCGCATTCTGGACCAGTTGAAGCCTCCGGGTGCTCCTCAAAGGGAGCCCCATGTAGAGAGCATTACAGTAGTCCAGGCGGGAGGTGACGAGAGCATGAGTGACTGGTCATCTAGGTCATCTAGTTCAACCCCCTGCTCAGGCAGGAAACCCTATACCAGGAGTGTCAAACTGCCGTCCCGCGGGCTGGACGTGTCATGTGGAAGCCGTGCCCACCCCATTGCCGGCAATGGCAAAACCGGCCCGATATATTGCGCGACGTCATGTGATGTTGCGAGTTTGACATGCCTGCCCTATACCATTTCAGACAAATGGCTGTCCAGTCTCTTCTTTAAAACTTCCAGTGTTGGAGCATTCACCCTTCTGGAGGCAGGTTGTTCCACTGATTAATTGCTCTGTCAGGAAGTTTCTCCTTAGTTCTAGTTGCTTCTCTCTTTGGTTAGTTTCCATCCGTTGCTTCTTGTCCTGCCTTCAGGCCCTTTGGAGAATAGCTTGACTCCCTCTTCTTTGGGGCAGCCCCTGAGATATTGGAACACTGCTGTCATGTCCCCCCTCGTCCTTCTCTTCGTTAGACTAGACATACCCAATTCCAGCAACCGTTCCTTATATGTTTTAGCCTCCAGTCCCCTAATCATCTTTGTTGCTCTTCTCTGTACTCTTTCTAGAGCAGTGGTTCTCAACCTGTGGGTCGGGACCCCATTTGGGGTCGATCGACCATTTCACGGGGGTCGCTAAGCAAGGCTGTCTGCCATTTTTTTGTCCGCCATTTTTTTTGTCCGCCATTTTTTCCCCTTTTCCGGCGGGTGCCTTACCTCACTTGGGCTGGGCCAGCTGGTGGTCAGCCTGCTCCGTCTCTGCCGCTTGCCAGCTACGCCTCGGCCGGCGCAGGGGGCCGAACCACGCATGCACGGCACTCCCAGGCAGGGAAAGTCTTCGACTTACGACCGGTTGGGTAGTCCTTGACTTACGACCGGTTTAGTCCTCGACTTACGACTGGTTGGGGTCGCAGCATTAAAAAGGTTGAGAACCACTGTTCTAGAGTCTCAACATCTTTTTTACATCGTGGTGACCAAAACTGGATGCAGTATTACCAAGGCCTTGTAAAGTGGTATTAACACTTCACGTGATCTTGATTCTATCCCTCTGTTAATGCAGCCTAGCACGGTGTTGGCTTTTTTTGGCAGCTGCAGCACACTGCTGGCTCATATTTAAGGGATTGTCCACTAGGATTCCGAGATCCCTCTCACAGTTACTACTATTGAGCAAGGTACCCCCTATACTATACCTGTGCAATCGGTTTTTCTTGCCTAAATGTAAAACCTTACTTTTTTCACCCTCGATTTTAGATAGGGCTTAGATAGTGCCCATGATGGTTTCCAGCCAGTCACATCTCCAGACCACGATGAGAGATTTGCTCAGCTTCTGCAAGGCAGCTGTGTCCCTCGTTGTGTTTTTAGGTCCAGTCTTCTCCATTTTGGGATGTTCTTCATTTGTCTTTTGCAGGCTGGGCAGAGAGGAGAGCCTGGCCCAAAAGGAGCCCACGGCCCAAATGGAACTGTTGGGCTGCCAGGAATTCCAGGCCATGCTGGCAAAATGGGTTTTCAAGGAGAGCAAGGAACCCCTGGGATTATGGGGAAACCAGGCCTTCCGGTAAGAAGTTCTGGACGTTGCCTTGTGCAATTGTTTGTCGGTCCTTGTCTGCCCATTTTTTTTCCTACTCCAGTTTTAAAACTCATTTTCATTGTGCTGTTCCTAATACAGGTGGTCCTTAATCGTATGACCACAACAGAGCCCAAAACTTCTGTTGTTAAGTGAAACGTTTATTAAATGAGTTTTGCCCCACTTCACGACCTTTCTTGCCCCGGATGTTAAGTGAATCACTCAAGTTGTTGAGTTAGTAACCCGGTTGTTAAGTGAATCTGGCTTTCCCCGTTGACGTTGCTGGTCAGAAGATCACAAAAGATGATCACAGGGCCCCAGGACACAGCGACCGTCATAAATATGAAGCCATTGCCAAGTATCCAAATTTTGATGATGAGGATGCTGTGAAACATGGTCATAAGTCACTTTATTCAGTGCCGTTGTAACTGGGGTCACTAAATGAACTGCTGTAAGTCGAGGACTATCTATATCTGGGTTATTGCTCCATTGAAGAATTCTAAAAAGCAGAGTAGAGTAATAGTGTAATCTCCACTTGGTGGAGTAGATTGCTCTACTCTGTTGAAATGGAGTAGAACAGTCTACTTTTCTGGCATTTGTTGTATAGGTAGTCCTCAAGTTATGTCCATTTGTTTAGAATCCATTCAAAGTTACAACAGTGCTGAAAAAAGTCCAATCCTCACACTTTAGATTTTTTTTTATTTTTTTTTTATTTTTTCATAATTTATATGCCGCCCTTCTCCCCACGGGACTCAGGGCGGCTCACAGCATATTAAAATAACACAACACAAACAACACAACACAACATTTCCCCTATAAAAGCCAATTAAAACCAAATATTTATAGTCTGTGACATTATTAAAATCATTAAAAATTATCCCTATTTAAAATTCACCCTAGGTNCCGGAAGGCCACTGGCAACCAGTGCAGCTCGCGCAGCAGCGGCGTTACATGGGAGCGACGCGTCGCTCCCAACACCGCCCGCGCGGCCGCATTCTGGACCAGTTGAAGCCTCCGGATGCTCCTCATAGGGAGCCCCATGTATAGAGCATTACAGTAGTCCAGGCGGGAGGTGACGAGGGCCTGAGTGACTGTGCGCAGATTTAGATTTTTGATTTAGATAACCTTTATTGACATTTTTTTCCTCTGGGCACAACGGCACACATTAAAAATGAAATTTAGTTGCTTGCTCTCAAGCATAACACACATTTAAAACATAGTATATACAGCATATGTATAGACCTAAACCAGGGGTAGGCAACCTTGGCTCTTTTATGACTCGTGGACTTCAACTCCCAGAATTCCTGAGCCAGCCATGCTGAGGGGAAAGGGAAAGGTTTCCAAGCTTAGCCTTGCTGGCTCAGGAATTCTGGGAGTTGAAGTCCACGAGTCATAAAAGAGCCAAGGTTGCCTACCCCTGGGATAGGGGCACAACAGCTCAGCGGTTAAAAACTCTGAGCTTATCTGCTCAAAAGCTGACAGCCGGGGTTCAAGACCCGAGCGTTGCATGGTGGGGTGAGTTCCCGTTACTTACCCCAGCTCTTGCCCACCTAGCAGTTTGAAAGCATGCAAATGCGAGTAGATAGATACCACTTTGGTTTCGTGTGCCTCAGCGTATAGTCATGCTGTCACATCCCCATGGAAACGTCTTTGGACCGTGCTGGCTCTCTCAGTTAGGAGATGAGCAGCGCCCCCTAGAGCAGTGGTGGCGAACCTATGGCATGGGTGCCAGAGGCGGCACTTGGAGCCCTCTCTGTGGGCACATGTGCCGTTGCCCCAGCCTTGCCTTCCCCCCGCGCCCCCCTCCTCTCCAGCAGCCCCCCTGAAGAAGACTCGCCCTCGAGCGTGGCCCACACGGAGCAACACAGCCAAGGACATGGCAGCCAGGCAGCGTAGGCAAGACTCTGCCCTCACACCCCATCATACAGTTGATGCTGCAGGGCACGGGCAGAGAGTGGCTGCCATAGTGCTGCTGGGCTGCCTGGGCGATCTGCAGTGGGCCCTGGAGGCGGTGAGTGGTCCTGTGGGCAGGCGGGGCAAGAGATGGGGGACAGAGCAGGGGTGGGGCAGGGGGGTGGAGTGGGGCGGGGCCAGTTTTTGGGCACTCAGTCTCTAAAAGGTTCACCATCACTGCCCTAGAGTGAAACATGACTGGACAGGGGAACCCTTTTTACCTTTAATTTTAGGGAAAAGAAGCGAGTGAAGAACGCATCCGAGAACTCTGCGATGGAATGATCAGCGGTGAGTACGGCTGCAACGTCTTGGGCAAGGAAATAATGTTTATTTTGCTAAATGGATTTTTGGTGACAAGTTCTATGACCCGAGCAAATCCTTCGAAGAGATGCTTCTTGAAGTCAGAAGGACTGCTGAGAGACCTGGATGAAACCAAAAGGCTGCTTAGAGGTTCCCGGGCATCTTTTTTTTTTTAAAAAAAAAATTGCACAACTGTTATAAGGAAGAGAAAACTTGCTTTTCTTCACGCACCCCTTCAAACACAGAGCTGTTGACTTTGGCTGTGGCTTCCTAGGGCCTCAGAAGGGAATTTATTTTTTAGACGCCGATATTTTTGAACGGCATAATTCGGAAATTAAATGTTGAATTTCTGGAATGCTTTGCATTTCTAAATAGAGGCCTAAATGTTGTTTAAGATTGCAATTTAAAAAATGAATGAGGCAACCTGTTTAGTTGTATTGATTTCCACTCCTTCTCATGAACCTTCAAGTAGGAAAGAAGAATCTGACATTTCTGAGTAAGTACATGGGATACTGGAATAAGAATGGTTTAAAATCCATCCCTTTAATGACCTTGTAATCTCTTGCATTGAGGTGGATTTGGGGCAACTCAATCGAGCTGAGCATTTACAGGCCGGATGCCCTTCCTGACGCCTATGCGGGGCTCACAGCAGTTATTTTCTCTTTGTGCCCAGAGAGAGAAATATCTGCCGCTAATTAGGATCAAACTCACAACGTCCTGATTGTGAGGTGAGAACTCCATCTCTAGGCCACCATCTCACTCCTTGAGTACTCCAGAGTATTGGTTGATTAATTGTACTGATTTATTAATACTGAATTAAGCATTATTGTTATTATTTGTTTTGGAATATTGCATCCAGTTTTGGTCACCACGATATAAAAAAGATGTTGAGACTCTAGAAAGAGTGGCGAGAAGACCAACTGGGTATGTCTAGTTTAATGAAGAGAAGGACTGGGGGGGACATGATAGCTGTGTTCCAGTATCTAAGGGGCTGCCACAAAGAAGAGGGAGTCAACTTATTTTCCAAAGCACCTGAGGGCAAGAAGCAGTGGATGGAAAGAACCAACTTAGAAATAAGGAGAAATTTCCTGACACTGAGATCAATTATTCAGTGGAACGACTTGCCTCCAGAAGTTGTGGGTGCTCCAACACTGGAAGTTTTTAAGAAGAGATTGCACAACGATTTGTCTGGAATGGTAAAGGGTTTCCTGCTTGACTAGAAGAATTCCAAGGTCCCTTCCAACTCTGTTATTCTGTTAATATGCTGACTGGGGAATTCTGGGAGTTGAAAGTCCACACATCTTAAAGTTTCTGAGGTTGAAAAATATTGCTCTAGTTTTTATCTATTTGGGAGGAATGAGAACTAAGGCTATTTCCAGCTCAGCTATATATTGGGTGAATGTCCCAGCTGGCACCAATTGTGCATGTGTGTATATATCTATATCTCTCTATATCTCTCTATCTGTCATCTATATCTGTCTGTCTGTCTGTCTGTCTGTCTGTCTGTCTGTCTGTCTCTCTCTCTCTCTCTCTCTCTCTATCTATCATCATCATCATCATCTTCTTCTTCTTCTTCTTCTTCTTCTTCTTCATCATCATCATCATCATCATCATCAAGTTGGAAGGGACCTTGGAGGTCATCTAGTCCAACCCCCTGCTCAGGCAGAAAACCCTATACCATTTCAGACAAATGGCTGTCCAGTCTCTTCTTAAAAACTTCCAGTGTTGGAGCATTCACCACTTCTGGAGGCAGGTTGTTCCACTGGTTAATTGTTCTCACTGTCAGGAAGTTTCTCCTTAGTTCTAGGTTGCTTCTCTCCTTGATTAGTTTCCATCCATTGCTTCTTGTCCTGCCTCCAGGCGCTTTGGAAAATAGCTTGACTCCCTCTTTGTGGCAGCCCCTGAGATATTGGAATATTGGAATCTATCTATCTATCTATCTATCTATCTATCTATCTATCTATCTATCTATCTATCTATCTATCTATCTATCTATCTATCTATCTATCTATCATCTATTTATATCACCTATCTATCTAGTTTTGTCTGTGGTTTTTATTTTTATCTATCTATCTATCTATCTATCTATCTATCTATCTATCTATCTATCTATCTATCTATCTATCTATCTATTTATGTCATCTATCTGTCTAATTTCGTCTGTGGTTTTTATTTTGCATTTTTTTTTAAAAAAAACAGGCTAAAGCCCACAACGGTTGTGGAGCAGTTGGTTTAAATTCAGTCTTTAAAAAAAGTTAAACCCTTTTTTTTTATCCAGAATGGTTTGGTATGCTTTATTTTAGAGCAAGATGTTTGCAAGCTTCTCTGGGAATGCTTTGACTTCTTCCGCTGCATCCATCCATTGACAAATCAAAATCCACTCTGCAGTTTTCTTGTTTGCTTTTTAATTCCAGAGCACATTGCCCAGCTAGCTGCTAATTTAAGGAAACCCTTGGCTCCTGGATTCATGGGGAAGCCTGGGCCCGTTGGCCCTCCGGGACCTCCTGGGTCAATGGGAAGCATTGGACATCCTGGGGCTCGTGGCCCACCTGGATATAGGGGACCCCCAGGGCATTTAGGAACTCCTGGTTCCAGAGGTGAGTAAGCCCCAAAGAGATTACAGCTAGCCCTCAACTTACAATCATTTATTTAGTGACTGTTCAAAGTTGCACTGAAAAAAGTGACATAACCATTTTTCACACTTATGACCATTGGAGCCTCCCCACGGTCACATGATCAAAATTTGGATGCTTGGCAACTGGCATGTATTTGTGACTGTTGCGGTGTCCCGGGGTCACGTGATCCCCTTTTGCGACCTTCTGACAAGCAAGAATCCTCGGGAAAGCCAGGTTCACTTAACTGTGGTGTTACTAACTTAACAACTGCAGTGACTCACTTAACAACTGTGGCAAGAAAGGTCGTAAAATGGGGTATGACTCACGTTGCTGTCTCACTTAGGAACAGAAAATTTGGGTTTACTTGTGGCCGTACGTCGAGGACTCCCTGTAGTGCATTAAAACTCGTGAAAGATTGGAGCTGATGCTTTTCCCAAGTCAGCTTACAAAAAGCATCCTTCTGGTCGATCAATTTTATTTAAATTTTATAGGGGACCCTGGTGAGAAGGGAGACAAAGGGCTCGTTGGCAAAGGCATTGATGGGCCTGTTGGAGATCAAGGACCACAAGGTAAGTTGAATATTCTGCAGGTGAATATCTATGGAGATTCTCAATCATCCAGGTCATGGTTGTCCCAAAGATGCCGTGATGACCCAGGGCACAGCACAGAGGCAATGCAGTCAGCTGGCAATTCAAACCGCCCTTTAGTTGCTCCAAATTTTCCCCAAATGCTCCCACGTTTCTGGCAAGCCTCCAAACAAAGGAAGATACACACACCTTCAGCTGCCTCTGGCTGCAAGGAGTTTCACATACAGTCTGATTAGGAGAGGAATTTACTCAAGGCCACGGAGATAACAAGGAATGACACATACATCACAAACCTAACGAGTCTGTGTGAATACACGCTTGCCTGAGCAGTTTCAAAAGGGAAGCCAAAATACAGTCCAAGATCTTTGAACATCCAAGCAACGTTGTCAGCCAGTCCAATAGTCAGAACAAGAGATCAGCAACAACACACACAAAACTCCCAAGGAATCAGCGTTTGTTCCCAACAAATGCCTCTCCCCACAGCGGCTCCTTAAATCTCAGTCTCCAGATGTGCCTTGTGGAGAGAGGTGGGATGCTCTCCTCCCAAGTAGTTGAGCCTGCCTGCCCTTTTTCTCTCACTCTCCGTGCTCTAAGATCAGGTGGGGGTGGCCCTTGCTCATCGCCTGAACTCTGTCTCTCCTGTCCCACACCTGAAGGGCCCTGGCCTGCCTCAGCCTGCTCTTCCCCACATTCCTCTGAAACCACAGACTGGCGATTGGTTCCTACTTTCCTAACCACCAAGGCTGGATGTTCATGGTTTTTTCTGGAGGCTTTACCATTTTGTTATAAATTAAGAAGGGTTTTAAATACGTTTTCTCTGGGTATTGTAGAGTTTTAGCTTTTTTCTTTAACAGTTTCTATTACTGTACATATAAATACCTAGAAAATATTTTTGAGCCATTAATGGGAGTGGGCACCTTAAATGATCCAAAACTTAGCCATAATTCAAAATTCACAGTTCTCTACATTTTGTAACGAAACTGGACAATTTTAAAATGCATAGAGCTTTCATGTCTATTGAAGACTACATACATTCATGAACGTTAAGACATTGAAATGATTTATAACGTTTCTCGTGCAAATTAGATGCATCGGGCAAAATTGGAACATGAACATGTATTTGTTTGGGGGAAAGCATACCATAATATGTTCAAATTTTGTTGTGAGATGTAGGGGGGGAAATAGCCAACTTAAGGAACCAAATGGCAATTTACAAAAGTGAGAAATTGAGAGAAGCTGAAAATGACAGGTTTGTCCATGCCAACCAATCTACAGCAGAGATCTCCAAACTTGGCAACTTTTAAGACTTGTGGACTTCGACTCCCAGAATTCCCCTGCCAGCATGGCTGGCTGAAGACTTCTGGGAGTTAAAGTCCACAAGTCTTACAATTGCCAAGTTTGGAGACCCTTGATCTAAATCAGGGGTGTCAAACTCACAACGTCACGTGACGTGTCGCGACGTATCACAACCTTTTTTCCATTGCCGGCAATGGGATGGGCGCGGTTTCGCCACAACACATCCGGGCCGCGGGCCGGCAGTTTGACACCCCTGATCTAGATCAATGTCTAGATATGGAGGAAGGAAAATGGCCCTGAGAACGCACTTAGATTTAAAACCAAACCAAATAAAAAAATGGGCATTGTTTTCATAGCTGATGGCTTTGTCCTTGAAAATATGCCGAATAACATGCTGGACCCTTTGTTTTTCCCCCTCCCAAGGAGCACCAGGTGTTCCTGGAATTAGGAAAGATGGTCGGAATGGTGCACCCGGTGATCCTGGGTTACCAGGGGATCCTGGAAGGCCAGGTTCGGCTGGAGCACAAGGAACTCCAGGACTCTGCGATACATCTGCCTGTATGGGAGCTGCTGCTAGAGGGAAATTCAAGAAAGCGTAAATCTGCATGAAGCTGAATGAATGAAGTGAGGAAAAGGAACACGACATTCAATGGAATTGTTACCAGAAGAGAATATTTGTAGCTCAGGGTGGAAACTGCAGGGTCCTTGATGCTCTCTGAGCTTGGTGGTTTTCTTGCAGATGCTTCATTACCAAACTAGGTGACATCTTCAGTGCGTTGATGACCTCACCTAGTCTGGTAATGAAATATCTGCAAGAAAACCACCAAGCTCAGAGAGCACCAAGGACCCCATAATGGAATTGTTCATACACAATGAAACATTGTCCTGATTGGGGGGAGAAAGTGAATAAAATAGATGCTATATTTCAGTTCCTTTGAGGGGGAAAAAAAATCAACTTACGTAAAACGGCCCCTGTAGTTAATTCCTATTTCATGCAAAATATAAACCGAATAGGTTCTTTGAAGAGACGTACTATTATTCCTGAAGTATTTTCCAGTTAACAGTTTCCCTCTTCCTAAGATCCTACCTGCTTTTGCAATGACTTCATTTGGCACCGTTCGATGTTTATGAATCCTATTTTGCTACTGGTAAAATAACATGTAAACATTTCATGTATTATTTGCCAGATGGGCCAACTGTACATACCTGGGCAGGTGATTCAGACAGAGAATACAGACGTAGACCCATTAAATGGCTAGGAAGTGGGGTACTTTGTAGAGCTCCCTAAGGTTTCTGGGGTTCATAAATGTAAAATGCGTGAATTGAATCAAACTGGATGATTCAAACTACCGTTTATAAAATGTGCATAATTCAAAGATTCCCTTGAAATTCACTTCCTAAGATTTTGTGCCCACAACAGCTTAATCTATTGGATCAAAAGCCATGTTGGACATCCATCTGCGTTTTTGTGGGTGTTGAGTTGACCACAACTGCACTGGAAACAGATTCTGCAAATGTGATATCATGATATAGTTAGAGCTCACTCTGTGATGTGAATGCTTAGCAAATGCATGGTTTGAGGAAAAAATGTGCATGCCATCTGTTTCTTAAGAGATGAATTTAAACATTTCTCCCGTATTATAAAGGATATTCAGTAATGACGCATTATACCCTTTCCACATTAAGTATTGATAAAAACCCAACATACAGAAAACAAACGCCATCAAAACTGAGTGTATACATTATTGTAAAAATAAATTTAAAAACTCTAATATTGTGCCTGCCTATTTTATAATAGGCTGATTCTGTTTTGTGTTTTTTTTCTTTTGGTGATTGAAAATAAAGGGGCTACACAAGTGTGAATATCCGTGATTTAAACAGTATTTATTTTGTGGTAAGTTCTGTACAAGAATACTTATTAGCATTATCTGTTCTGATAAAGCCACTGTCAAATAAATATGCTAAATATGCTTTCCTAACAAATATATAGCTAATAGTTATTTTTTAAAAAATGAAAGGAAAAAAATATCTGCACTTAAAATTCATGTATTTTTACAAAATACCACTTTTGCACTAAAAGGATGGGAATTGTCACATAAAACACCAGAGAAGTTGATGAGACTTCCATCAGAACTTACAGCTGCATTTTTTTCTATCCATTTAAATGGACGTTTGTGCAAAATATAATCCTTGCCTTTATCCTGTATGAGAAGTTGTTAAGAAAGTGCAAAATATATTTAAAATAGTAGTGTATTTGTAACGCATAGTGAACAGCTTTTTCTATAGATTTTAGTTTTACAGGGTATGAACTTTGACAAATGAAAAATCTGAGTTACTATATACAATTACCATTTTTATATAGTTTATAAATTACTTACATTTCTTCTTCCAATAGTAAAACTGGTTCTCGTGGCATTTCTATTAATTTATATAAATATGAGCATGCTCAAGAGGGAAAAGAACAGGTTGCTACATATGTAGTGTTTTAATTATTAAATATTTTGATAAAACAAAATCAAAAATGGAAATGGGATGGAGTGTGGCATTTACTAGCCTTGAGTGCTATTTTTGCCCTGCCACAAATGAAAAGCTCTACTAAATTAACATTGTTGGTTTTGTTCTTTTTTTCCTTGTTTTGAATAAACTTGTCATTTCTTCAGTGTTTATATATATATATATTGTCAACCATGTTATAAGAAAAGTCCAGTGGGTGAATTTCGATTTTGACATCGTGGATCACTTTTCATATTATTTCATGTCCGTAGATGTACTATTCTGTGTGATCTCCTGGGCAGCACAGGTTGCTATGGGATCTGATCTTGTTAATTTTAGTCTTCTGCCTGTTTTACCACAGAACACAGTTTCAAATTCCTAAAATCCCCCCCAAAAAAACAATTCCAAGATGAATGAATAAATGTTTCAACTCTATGCACAAAGATATCCCTAAAGCCGGTAAATACAGTGAAATCTAAAGTTATCTCAAAAACTGTTTGCAGTTTTTAAAGGTCCGGTACATACAATGTACTTGGTCAATACAAATTGTTTTAATAAAAGTGATGACAGCTACTTTATTTAGGTCTGGTAGAACTGCTGAATGTAAGGAGCAGCTGAAAAACATGAAGCTGATCAACTTTGTGAGATGGGAGGAGACAGGAGCCACAGAAGACCCTGACATTCTCTTGTCGACCATCATCATGCTTTAATTTCATGCCACATTATGGCAATTGGGCTCTGCAAGATGCAATTGCTATGCTGGAATATTACAATAGGGCTGGGGGATTTACAGGAGGTTCATGATAAAGTTGATTATGCATGAGCATGTTTGCAAAAATTATAATTTAATGTGATCCTAAACAATTTACAGCATGAACAATGGGAAAAGTTGATACAAAGTACAATAATACCAATTTCTTAAAATGAAAGAGCAAGAGCATAATAGAATTGGTCTGCCTTCTTAAAAAAGAATATTCTGTCTGGTTTTCCATTTTACCAGAATTCTGTTTTATCCTAACAAAGTTTTCTTCTGATCTCTGGAAACGCTCTAAAACCTTGATTTTGGTTCTTGAAGAACTGAAAAAGCCAATATAGTGAGCGCTGATTGGCAAAATAAAGTATTTATTACGGTGCACTGCTTTTAAATATACTGCTTGCTTTTAAATATATATATTTCTTTAGATTATATTGTGTCTATCACTTCTGTCATCTTTTATATCATTTAAACTTCACTGTGTACTTTTTTAGAAAAGCAGTATACTTAGCTAGTAGTGTTGTTGTTCAGATACTTATGTAGTAGTATCAAACTTCCTATTTTCTCCTTTAAATACATGAAACATTCGTGCTGTAACAGCTAAATCACATGGCTTTCTTAGGTAAAATATTTCCTGCTCAAGGAAACAGATGCTGGATCTCAATGCTGTAAGATGTGCTAATGGCTTTTAGCAGGAATATCTCTGAAGGGCTTTGTGCATCCTACAGAACTAGCACTGAACACAAATCAAACGTTTTAACAATTTAACAGTTTTCTCCCATTCCAATGTAAGAAGCATGTGGTGTGCAAACTCTAAAAGTTAGGAAAAGAACAGAACTTACTCCCAAATAGCTGGGGTAAAATAATAGTAATAAAGCATTACACTACACACACAACGTCATCTCCCCAGCTACCAAAAGATTTATCCAAGCCTATATAATGAGAAAAACATTGGTGGCTGTTACTCATTGGGCTAATATTAGTGTCTACCTGTTTAGCTTACATACTATATCTTATACAACTTATGAGGTTGAGCAGTTGAAGATGTACGGAATACGGAAAGAACAAAACAAAGGATCCTATGAATAATCAAATATTGTTCAAGGCCCAGTGAGGCATTGCTGTAACTTTCTTACTACAATGCTCTATATATTAATGTGGAGTTACTGACCTTTTTCAGAGAATCTCCATGTCGCTCTTGAATATATTTTAGAAATGCTGTTGTCCATTGTAAGGTTGTTGCCTTATCAGTGTCTGAAGTGCAGAATGGAACNGGATCCTATGAATAATCAAATATTGTTCAAGGCCCAGTGAGGCATTGCTGTAACTTTCTTACTACAATGCTCTATATATTAATGTGGAGTTACTGACCTTTTTCAGAGAATCTCCATGTCGCTCTTGAATATATTTTAGAAATGCTGTTGTCCATTGTAAGGTTGTTGCCTTATCAGTGTCTGAAGTGCAGAATGGAACGAGAAGATTCAGTTCATCACAGCAAATCCTGATTCTGCGCCTAGAAATACATATATAATCATGGTCAATTCTTGAAACTGAAAAGGCTTTATACAGGTAGTCCTCAATTTTGCGACCACTCAGAACTATAATGCCACTGAAAAAAGTGATTTACAGCCAGTCCTCGCACTTATGACCATTGCAGCATCCCCACGGTCATGCGATCAAAATTCATGCACTTGATAACTGGCACATAATTATGATCATTGCAGCATCCTAGGATTGTGTGAATACCATTTCCAAACTTCCTAGATGGCTTCCAACAAGCAAACTCAATGGGGGAAGCTGGATTCGCTTAACAACTGTGTGATTCATTTAACAACTGCAATGACTCACTTAACAACAATGGCAAAAAAGTGATAAAATCAGGCGTGACTCACTTGTTTACCAATGGAAATTCTGGTCCCAACAAGGACTGTACAAACTCCACATTACATAAGTAGTCAAACATGTTTGTAAGTTTATTACGCAATATTAAGCATTTAAAAAAAAGATTTAAATATCCTCCTTTTAATTAAACTTGCCCCTTGCCCCTGACACCCAAACAAAACACTATTTGCTCTCATTCATTTCTTGCACCGCTTCATCTGCTCTTCATCTTGATTCCTGGGAAATCTTATTTTGCTGTTCTGCAAAACGTGATGTGCTGATAGAAGTGTGCAAAAGATTCTTCTTGAATAAAAGTATGAAATTAGGGAAAGCATCTGCTAGGAAAATAGATCACCAGCAAGTCTTCAAGGGATTGACAAATGAAAATTAATACTTTATGTAATTCTAAAACCACCCTAGGCTTGGTCAGATTTTGTTCTCTGAGCAAAAGAATAATAATAATACTGGATTCTCTCTTCTGCCACTCTGCTAATCTCCCTAACTCTTTTCATCATGGGAAATTCAGCAAAGGGAGCCCAGAGGCACTGGTGAATTAATGACACCTCAGAACACCCAGTCCACCATAACCTTAAATGCATGTGATGTTTTTGGAAAATCCCAGATCGGTCCAGTATTGCTGCCTGTTGTTTGCAGTAAACTGATTTCGCTTAGTTTTGCTTTGATTTTTCATTTTTCATTTAAACAATGGGTTATGTTATGACCTAGTTCTCTGGAAAAGGCAGAGGGGAAGGGGGAGGGGAAAGGAAAGAGGGGGAGGGGAGGAAGGGGGGGAGGAGGGTGGTAACAAACACTGATTAAACTCTGTCACATTAATGGTAGTTCTAACAAAACATTAGCCTTGTTCCGCCCTTTTGTAAAGGTGTTGTTAGGCAAGTAAAAAAGGAACGATTGCAATATTATAATTCATATTGCACTATCATACTGTCTGCATTGCATAGTTCAGTGGTGGCGAACCTATGGCACGGGTGCCAGAGGCGGCACTCAGAGCCCTCTCTGTGGGCACACGCACCATCACCCCAGTCCTAGGCCTTCAGCTGGGTTTTATAAAACCTTTTCGCTTTAGGCCTCTGCCACCATGTGCAAAAAAAAAAAAAAAGGTTCAGTCAATTTCAACTTCTCGCGGGGAAAAAAAAGATCTTGCAAAGTTGGAATTGATTGATTGAACTTTTTAGTCCCACCCAGTCTGCCATTACCACTGCAGCCATGCCCACCCAATGGGCCACACCCAGCCAATTGGCCACACCCACCTGGCACTCAACAATGCATAAGTGGGTTTTGGGTTGCAGTTTGGGCACTCAGTCTGTAAAAGGTTCGCCATCACTGGCATAGTTCATTTGCTTTGAATGTGGAAAGAGAAATATTTTTTTTAAAAAAAATGCAAACAAAAGAAAACACGAAGTAAGAAGGATGCCTTCTGAAAATCAGTGCGTGGTATTACAAACTGCTACGATCCTTGGCACCGTGACTTGCAGAATTATCGAACCCCTGTATTAAATTATGATATGTATTATTTCGGACGTGGTTAATAATATCCGTAAAAATATGATTCCTGGGTATATCCATGTCAAACGATAAAACAATCATGATCACCAGGAAAATTCAAAGTAGAAATGTTTTAATAAATACCGAGCTTTCGGACGTGTACGCAAAACCTTTATAATTTGTGTTTGTGTGTACATCCTTTTTGATTCAAAAGGCTCGCAAAAAAGAAATTTGAAATACTTCCACAGAGAACGCCTGACTGAAGAAGCCACCGAGAGCAATTACCTTCTGTCTCTTTCCATCCGGTTGTGCCTCTCCCGGCGTTGGGAGACGCTGCCTTGGCTTCCATTGTGAGTATTTTGGGCAGGCTGGACTGTTTGCCATGAACTCTGAGCTGGGACAGCGTTTTGATTCTCACACACATTCTGTATGTCACCGAGAGGCCTGCGCTGTATGTTGGTATCCAAGGGATGGGTACGACTACGACTTCTTCTATTTATTGACTGCTTACATAAAGCCTCTCCTTTGCGTAAAAGAAAAAAGAAAAGGGAGTCCTATTTTGCCATTGTTCGTGTATATCAAAATGATGGTTGAAAAATAATTACACTCTGCAATCTCTCTGGTTTACAGGTAGTTCTCAAATTAAAACCAGTCATTCAAAGTTACAACAAACCTCTCTGGAGGTATTTATGACCTGATTCCGAAGTTCAGACGGCCACTCCATCACACGGTCATGTGACTGCACATTGGTGGCTTGGCAATCAGCCATATTTACAGCCATTGGCAGTGCCTGCAGTCAAATGACCGCCATTTACATTTTTGCCCAAACTCAACAGGCATCTGTTGTAACACCCATTAAAAAAATTAGTAAGGTTTTGATCGCACAGTTGTGACCATCATCTTGAAATCTCTGACTCTTCTGCAGAAACGTCCGCATCTTAGAAACAGAAATACAGTTGCATCTTAGCAGGACGTTAAAATAAATATATCAACTTAAGATGTAGAAATTATGCCACCATTTTCAACTTAATAAAACGGTTGTCATTTTTTAAAGAGAAATTGCATCTCTAATATTCCCATTTAAATGTCTTACTGCAGGACAAAAATCAGCGTGAAAACCAAAGGTGATAATTTATCCTTTAACATATAGTTCCTCTGCTAATTTGAAATTATTGCAACCTCTTAAATGTATTCCGGCTCTCTGGCAAGTTATAGCCATAATTAATCGAAGAATAGTTAAACCTTAGGGCCCTAGTTGCTTCTGACTACCACAGCACTATATACACCTATCTACTGTACATATGGAAGAAAGTGCTGTAGAGCAGGGGTCCCCAACCTCCGGTCTGTGGACCGGCACCGGGCTGCGGCATGCCAGAAACCGGTCCGCACATATAAGCAAAGCCCCATCCTTGGGATGCAGGCAGTACATGCAACCACGCCCCCTCCGGTCCGCAGAAAAACCTTTCTCCACGGAACTGGTCCCTGGTGCTCAAAAGGTTGGGGATCTCTGCTGTAGAGTCTGACTTAAATTTCTTCTCAGAAAAAGAAAGGTTTTAGTTTGCTCAATTCTGAGTACATTTTCTGTTGCTTTTTCTAGCACTATACAAACAAAAGACTAAAAAAGAAACAGTATATTCAGTAAAATCCATTAATACCACAACATTCCCAGGGTCAGCAATTTGCATGAAACATACTGTTAAAAGAATACTTTTCTTAAGTGGAGATCCTTAAGAAGCTAATAGCAACATGAGAAACAATGTCACCCTTTACCTCCCAATTTAATCCAAACATGTTCAGGTACAGCTTTATTTCTGGCACCAACTGTTTGTTTGCTAGTTTCAATTTCTTGCTGGTAACATACAGAAAAAGCTCGGGGCAACGCAAGGTCTTGATGTTTGACTGCTTCTACCACACTGGCTCCAGAGCTCTACATGGAAGAAGGGAGAAAAAAAAAACTTAATTTGTAAATATTGTAAATTTAAAGCAAGAAAATAGATTGGATTAGATACAAAGCAAAAGAGAAGACTTTGGGGTTTTTTTTTGCTCAAATATTTTCCATTTGGTTTTGCTGTTCTTTGGATCATGGCCAAATTTGCTGCTCCCATCAAATAACATCCAACACATGGCAGAAACCTAAATGATTCAAAACTCAAGAGTGTAAATCCCTATTATTGTCTTACTTTTTCCAGAGATCTGTAAAGAGTCAGCTGAAATATCAAAGCAGGAACAAAGTGAACACACAAACCTGTGCTTGTGCAGCATTAGTGCTTCCAGTTGCAGGAGGAGCAGTGTTTGCTGTAAAGACTGGACATGTAAATTGCAAGGCGGCCGTCGCAGTGGCAGCAGTCCTGTTTTTCACTAAAGTGGTACATTTGTTCTGCTGCTGGTGGAGAGGTACACCCATTGCTTCTGAAGGATGGCGAATGAGGGTTACTAAACTATGAATGAGATCAATAAAAGAACGGCGCTTACTTGAAATGAATCCATATTTTTTTACAGTAATAGTCACTTCAGAACGCTAGTCAAGCGTACACCAACCATATACCAGACTAGGTGTTTAACAGATACTTTTTTTTAATCCAAAGAAACACTCTTGCTTTAACTTTTTGAAACAATAATGAAGCGCAGTAGAGATTTTTTTTTAATCAACATCTGCATACATAATACCTTAGTTTTTCAGTGCTTGAGTAGGTAAGATTTCCTATATAATTCCAAGCTAGTTTTCAAGTGTTCCCACTTTTTTCAAATTTTGATTTCCCCACCCCCCACAGCCTTGTCACTACATGTTATGAGAACTTCATGTGGGTATTATGATGTATAGAGTCTGAGTTGAAAGGGGAAAAAATCAAAGTTTGATGCCTGTGCCATTTATTTCATAAACAAAGTCATTCAATGTACAACAGGTCAATATGAAAAGGTTATTTCCTCAACTAGTTCAATCAATTCAGTTAAACAGATAACTAGGAACAAACTATCTTGTAGAGACAAAGAGTAGGTTTTTAATTCTTTTTTTTTTTTGTACTGTTGGCATCCTGCCCAAATTACTAGGTTCTGGGTGGTGAATAACAAATCCAGAAAAATAATTCTGGGATATGATAGCAATAATAATTTATAACAGGACTGACTTGAAATGCACTATGGTGGGTTTATCTCAAACAAAATGCATCCCTCAGTATATTAAAATGAATAAAAAGAGTAACTTTTATAGGAGCCATAAATAAAGCCAATTTAGAATTTGAACAAAGTCTATACTATATTCTTATGAGGAAAATTTGGTAGTGAAATAATTCATTGGTAATTTACGGTATGTCTAATTATTTATAGGATCCATAATTGGACTATTGATTTCAACATATATGGATTGGAGGCCAATGATCTTGTAATAAATTTTGACTATCAATCTAAACTTTTAATATAAAATCTGTAGAAAGCGCATATGCTTGGAAATCAGAACTCATTGCACCTTGACACATCCATGCAGTTGTCTTGAAAGCAACATGGAAGTCATTTGCTATTCCTTTTTCCAGCATGTAGTTTTAATCCTCAATCTAACCTGAAGCTCTGGAGTTTCTTTTGTGGTGGTGGATCCAAGTACAAACTAGTCTAAACCTGCTTGGTTTTCTGGTCAGACAAAATTGGCACAGAAATCTTTTTAGTGCAGGCATAGGCATCTGTAAGGAGGAGGCAAACCACAATACACTTGTCATGACATCATCAGACAAATGATGCAAATTATGTACTTGCATCATTAATGCATTTACATAATTACATAATTTGCACAATGACATTACATCATGGATGTCACCATTTTGACTTTTCTGTTGTTTGTTAAGAGATGCCTGTAAGTGCATGAAATTAAAGGCTCAGATTCATAAAGAGCATCCAAAGCAATTATCTCTTAGGAGCGATTCAGTTAAAAGGTTGCATTATTCTAAAAACAAGAGCACAGAACTAATATGGGGTAAGGATTCATATGGAAGTTCAAAATCATCCTTAATTAAATATAACTACCTTACTTTTAAAGCCAAGGGAGCTGAAAATTGGAATGATTGTTCCTTGCTATATGTGTATACCAGGTGGTAAATACAATTATAATTAACTTGAATATAGTACTGATAATTTCTTTCTGGAAAAAAATAATACATAATTAACATATAGTAAATATGCGTCCAAACCTCAGCAATTGCCTGGTTTTATTGATGAATCAATATTACCAGCAAACTGAGTAATATTTTAAAAGAAAATAAAAATGAAACACACTTGTTAAGGGCTACTCCAGTTTCTTGAGTTTCTTGGCACCTGGGAATTTCAGTCTGGAGACTGTTGAATCGGTCTTCTAACCGAACACGGACTGCAGATTTGGCTCTGGATTCAGGAACTGCTGCTAAAGTTTCTGCAACTACATTTTCTTTATTTATCCCGCCCGAGGTTTCACTATATTTTAATTTTACTAAATTTTGCCCGTTGGTATCTATGGAGCTCCCATTAGGTGCTTTTTCAGCTTGGCCTGGTGGAAGGCTAGATTCACTAAGCAACATCATCCTTAGCTCTTGAAAGTCAATATGCCCTAGACACTGGTTAGGTCCCGTGAAACTGCTGTCAGAAGTCAAGCCAGACTGGCAGATAATGGGGTAGAGAGACTGGTTTCCAGAGCTGCTTGATGAGAAGCCACCTTGACTGCTACTAGATGACAAATAATGGGACTGATTTGCAGCAGTGTTGGCTGAGAAGCAATTCGAGTTTAACCTACTTTCCACTTCGTTTTCATTTGACTGGGCCTCCATATGGGAATAGAGTATATGCTGAAGTTGTGTGTATTCTATTTCCGTCATCTCCACCAGGCTGAGGTCTGTGGTGGTGAAGCTAAGGTTGTGCTCACCAAAAGAGGCATCGGTGGGGCCTTCAACAGGACCAGAAGAAGCTTGATCTGTAACTACAGCCCGAGGTCCGGAGGCTTCAGACGCCTTGAGGGTTGTGTCTGACATGATTCTGAAGGATACCAAGGCCACCACGTTTGGGGGAACCAATGAATATGCAAACCGAGAGTACCTCCGGCTCGATGCACCAAAAAACTATGCAATGGTTGCAATCAAGGGCAAGCACTCCGAAAGGAAGTCGATTGCCGTGCACACACAAAAAAACACCCTTTGGGTCCTTCTATTAAGAGCCACCCCCTTCCCAACAGAGCACAAACATGCCCAGCTCCGGAGAGCTAGTGGGAACAGCTGCACCATCCAAAACCAAGCGGTGCCATCCACACCTCTGGCATGAAAAGCTGCCCCCCCAAGTCCCCCCCCAAACAGAAAGATCTGGTGGTAGGAGGGCAGAGGAAGGGGTCCTCTTAGAAAAAATGTCTAGCCTAGCAATGGAGGGGGGGGGGAAAGCACCCCAAAAAGGATTGCACACACACCCCCTTTGAAAAAGCCCTATGCAGACTATGGGTTAGTACTCTTTTTTTTTTTTT